TTAATATTCTCAGCTGCGTTGCACAGTGGCTACAACTCAAGCTTGTTATTTTGGATTATATTTCATGGGTGTAAAGAAGGATTAAAAAATAAAAAAAAAACATGAAAGAAAACTGCACGCAAACTGCTGTTGCCTGAGCGATTTTCTTTCTCACTCTCGCCTCATTTAGTATGGAACAGATAGAAAACTTTGGCTGAACTAAGATTTCCAAGCCATTAAAAAACAAAGCATAAGAAAAGAATGAATCCAATTTCAAAAATTATTTTTACTTTCACTCGAGATGATTCCGTTTGGAATCCTTCCCGAAAACTTTAAATTAGAATCGACTTGAGAAGCAATCTATTCCCTTTGTATTAATATTAATAAATGAATAATATCAGTCGCAGGAGGAACTGGGTAGGCAGAAATAAACGGATGCGCTTAATAAAAAAAAAAGCATCTTACTTTCTTGTGGTTAATGGGATTCTAAAAATATCAGCTGTATAAGAATTTTAATTTTTTCCGATCGGAAATCCAAATCACGTTTAAACAAAGCCACTCATTCGTCATCAAAGAATGAAAATTTTAGTATGGCTGACGATGATGCTAAATGCGATAGAAAGGAATAATGTGTACTAAAACTTTAAAGTTTAAAATATAAATTTGTGTCTGCTTTCTCCGCAGCCAAATATAATCGATGCAAGTACATGCGAATTACGTGACTGTATGTACGAGTATAATGTTGATCAGGGTTCGATCAAGAGAATCTGGTGTTGTAAGTCCTTTCACGGGCTCCTTAGAGACCTTTCTTCTGCGCCTATCTTTCCACGAGAAAAGAATAAGCAGTGATATGGAAAGTTGGAGGATGATTTGGGTCGACCCCTTAAAATATGGAACTAAGTGGTCAGAGATGAGTACGAATACGCAGTAAACATCTCCATACGTTTTACTACAGAAAGGTGGGGCTAAGACTTGATATTCGATGTAATTATATGTACAATTATTTATAGCTTTTGAAATGGAAAAAACTCATTTTTAAACTTATTTCAGATTTATATTATTATACCTATGTTTTATTCGTATGCATCACTTTAATTTAAATATTTTCATTTTCTATTTAATTTAGTGCTATTTATATAATTACAATAATGTTTATTTTGGTAATATGTACACCTATGAAATCTTTAAGCTCTTGTTTATATATATATGTGTGTGTGTATGTGCAATACATTTTGTAAATATCCTGATGATTGGACGGTAGTTAAAATGAATAAGAGATGGTGGCATAGCAACAATCTGGCAAAGGCTTTTCTGCGTAGGTCATAAAAATGAAATGGATAGACGTAGCCGGAAATAATACACGTAACAGACCTATTTAAGTGTAATTGAACTATTTTATTCACGCCATGAACTCATGAACTGTAACCGAACTATTTTATTTAAACGCCATCTCGTGGCGATATGAAAAAACGTCAGTCGACCTCCAGCCGCCATGATGATAGCTTACTATGTTATGTTATTCTCAATGTTTGATGTTCCATTTCGTTTATGTTTCATTTTTATATATATTTCTTTTGTTTGTAACCGTTCCTGTGTGCTCTGTTAATAAATCCTTTTAAAGCTAGCCGGCATTAGTGTCTATTGAGGAACGGCTACATCACATTGGCGCCCAACTAAATTTGAATCCAAAATGGCGCAACAAAATGTTTAGAATTTCTGTTTGGCTTTAACAAGCTCTTACTCCCGAATTTAACTTTTAGTTGCTGGAGATCGGCTCAGTTTCTTTTCAGGTGTGGACTACTGGTCAAATATTCTGGAAACCAATTCTGGAATTAAAATTGTCATACCGTGCTGCTAGCACATCGAATCATCAACTGGACAATTTCAACGGAAAAGATAAGTTTCGTTTACATTATCGTTTAATCTGAGTTTAAAGTTCTTTTAAACTGATTATTTATTATAAGCTGCTTCTTAAAGCAAATGTAAATTCTTTACTGAAATCTCATTTATTGATACTACATAAGAGTATTAAACGAAAGCAAACGGCTTTCTGTTAACCAAACGTTATTTCTTGAATTGTAATTTGTTATTTTAAAATGTTAATGCGCATAGTAAATTAATTTGTGAATAATATTGTTTCACTGAATACATGTTTTGATGTTAAAGTTTGAATATATTCATGGACGTTGTTCATTAGAATTTATTAGTTTCGCTTCTGACATACAGCAGCAGATGTTTTCCCCCCGCGGAAATGTTTAGACTAGCGATGATTTATGATGTGTTTACGTCAAATCTTTTATTATTTTTATTTCCTTTGAGTGCTGTTGTTCCTTATTAAATGTTTTATTCTACATAAAATAAAATATTGTACTTGTTGATTTATCTTTCGACGAACATTTTGAGAAAATGATTATAGTATAATACTTTAAGAAAATACGATTGTTTTCCTTTAATGAATGCATGTCTTAAAAATATTTCTTGAAGCGAAAGAAAATAATTATGAATAAAATCGAATGACTATTTAAATAAAGTAAAAGAGTTACTAAGTGTGTGTTGCTTAATCAGCTTAATATTTGTTAAGATTAAGATTTCGAAGAATTCAGCTTAAATATAAAAGCTTATGGTAAGACATTTATGTATGTTTTGTATGTTTTGCTAAGTAGTAAACAATTTTTGAGCAATTTATTATATGTTATTTTCTTGATACAAGTTGAATTTATGAGGGCATTTTATGATATTTTTACGACTTCGAAATAATAAACTTTGTGAGTATTATTGTTTACATTTATAAATACTGTTTAATAGTGGTATATAAATGTACGAGTAACATTGTTTACATTCATACATGCTGTTTAATAGGGGGTATATACATTTTACTTAAAGGTATAATTATTAATTCTAAAATACTGTATTGTGAATAAAATCGAAATAACAACAAATTCAACTTCATCTTTTCCCTCCCCCCTGACCTCTCATATAATTATGGCTTACCTTGCCAAAGCACGAAAAGAGGATTTAAAAAACTCTCGCTGCAGAACTGGGTTTCACTGTAAACGACACTATGCGAGTAATAGATCTTAAAGATCTTATTGTCAATTCTGACACTTATGATGAGGCTTTTACCAGGAATCTTCTGGAAACTTTAATCGAAACTAGACAACAAAAACAACGTGAAAGCAACGATCTGGAGACACGTCAAAGAAAAGAACAAGAACTTTTATTAGAATTGGAACGTTTAAAATTAAACCTGGCAGCTGCTAGCTCAAACCCTAACTATGCCGCCTTTGCTTCAAATGCAGCTATTGGAACAAATATTCAACACCTAATCCCTAAATTTACAGGAACTTCTGACATTGCAACCTACCTGCAAATTTTTGAAAGACAATGTGAGAAAGTTAATATAAAACAAATAGATTACATCACTCATCTCCTACCTCTTCTGCCTATAGACATTTCGCAAATTATTTTAAGAGAACCAAAAGACAAATTAGAAGATTATTCTTACATCAAGAAGATTCTGCTACAAAGATTCAAATTAAATGCTGAATCATTTCGAATTAAACTTACTACACACCAAAAACACCCTGGGTCTTTATGGAAAGATTTTACTTACGAATTAAACAATTATCTCGAAGAGTGGCTTCATAGTCTCGATGTTACAGACTTTGAATCACTCAAAGACTTGGTCCTGACGGATCAGCTTAAAAGAAGAGTCAGTAGTGACGTTAAGGAGCATTTTATTGATATACTTGGGGAAAAAAAGAGTTCATCTGAATTAGTACAGAAATTGGATGATTATGAAGCTGTATGTGTTAAAGATACGAACTACAAAACTCCACTTCCTGGCAGGCGAAACTATTCTTACAAACCGACTAATCCATCCAAACACAAAGTAGAAAATCGAACAAGTGACATACAGGGAACTCATAAAACCTTTTCAAATCGTGGTCAGCAACAAACAGAAGAAAAGCGACCTCCTTTAACATGCTATGGGTGCGGCAAAACTGGTTTTATCAAGTTTAAATGTTCAGACTGTAACCGCCCAAAGACTTCAAATTCATCAAGTTTTGGCACTATCCAAATCCGATCCTGTTTATCTTCCACTCGGACGGACTGCTGTATTTCGAATTAGTATTGGTGGTGTTTCCGGTACAGCTTTCGCCGACACAGTGGTGCTAGTCACTCAATTGCAAGTGCAAGTGAATCCCTCTATCATATTCTGCAGAAACAAGATGCAGTATTTGAAAAGACAACACTACAGGTGTCTTTCGCTGATGGTTTGGTATCTGAAAAAGAGGTACTTCGCACCGAACAAATCATTCTTCTCGAAGGCAGAGAGTTCAAAACTCCGCTCCTTGTGTTGCCTGATGCCAAAAATAACTCGACTCTGTTAGGAACTGACTTTCTTCAAAAAGCTAAAATTGTTTTAAATCTTGCTGAAAATAAGTGGAACTTTTCTGATGAACCTCGAAGAAAATATAGCTTCGTGAAACCTCATCAATCCCAAGTACTGGAAGAAACCCCAGTTGTTGTAAACAACTGCCGACTACGAGAAAATGAAGGACAGCAATTAACTACAGCCCAACGGCTTGCAACTGATGCATTGCTTAACAAATATCACACTGTCTTCAAAGTAGGGGGAGAAACCACTAATCAAAAGCCATCTGGCTTACTTCAAATTCCAGTCTATGCTCAACGTTTTGAAACCTTGTCAATTGATCTTTTCGGCCCCCTTCCTGAAACACCGTCTGGTGAAAAATGGATTTTTATTGTGCAGGACTGTGCTACGAAGTGGACAGAACTATTTGCTTTAAAGGAAGCCACGGCCAATGTGATGTAGCCGTTCCTCAATAGACACTAATGCCGGCTAGCTTTAAAAGGATTTATTAACAGAGCACACAGGAACGGTTACAAACAAAGAAATATATAAAAAATGAACATAAAAATGGCATCAAATTGAGAAACATAACATAGTAAGCTATCATCATGGCGGCTGGAGGTCGACTGACGTTTTTTATATCGCCACGAGATGGCGTTTAAATAAAATAGTTCGGTTACAGTTCATGAGTTCATGGCGTGAATAAAATAGTTCAATTACACTTAAATAGGTCTGTTACATACATAATTTATTGCTGGAAAACTAATTCTGGCTACTTATATTGTTCTTCATACATCATTATGAGTGCAATATGCACCCCATAATTTTTTGTAACTCATTACATCTTTAGACGTCACCGAGATGAGTGAAGTGTGCTAGAAGAGTAAGGGAAAGTCGGAAAGTAAGTATGCATTCAGCAAAGGAATAACCTTAAAATAACCTTAAAATAATCAAGCTTTTTTTAACCGACTTGGGAGAAAAAATATATCAACAGTGTTACCCGTTACATAAGATAACATGAGGAGAATTAATATTGAGATTACTTACTTTCGATTCATATATTATAAACAGTTAGATGTTTTAGCACAGTAGCAGCAAGTACTCAAATTAGAATGAGAAATAAAAAGCACTATTGCTAAATTAAATTTAGAAATTTGCTATCATATTTTATACCTTTTGCGTATATACATATATTCTTAAATTATTACACACAATCATAGATATAGATCTATACGTATACTATGAGATCTGCGTTTACGTCTGTAAATTTAGATAGATTCGAAACCGAACTTCACTTCATATGAACGATAAAATTAAAATATCATAATTACTTAATTTTTTTATGGCAGGCCCTAGCCGTTTTTAGGATTTCGCCACTACTGAGACCAGAAGGGGTGATCATTTTATTATGGAGGTACTTAATAGGCAACTACCGCTACCTCCTATGAGGAGAAAGACAATTTATATCCATGCCTAATCCGGGATTCGAACCCGGGTCCTTTGGTATCGCAGTCGGCTTTCCTAATCACTCTACCGTTTAAATAATAAGCAAGAAATTTGAATTGAAAAATTTATCTGCATTGCAGTAAAAATAGTGATTAAAAAAGAATATTTCAATTACTATATGCAATAAATATTTTGTGGTTTTAAATGTTTAAATTCAAAACAAGGGAAGGTTGCTCTAATCCTGCAGAATGTTATACTCCTTTATCTATGTATTTCATGTGAAATTTTAAAAATGGTATAATTTCTTTCAAGATAAGATTTAATTTACTTCAAATGACATCAGGATAAAATAAGGTATTAGAAAGTATGTAATCTCAGCAGGGTTCGGGCGTTCTTCCATGGTGGAGAAAATCAACAGGAAAAAATTAACTTATTTAATAGTATTTATTAAATATGCGTGTATACAATGTGATTCAAAATTATTTGGCAAAATATGCAGGCAGATAGACGGTAACTAAATTAGCAGATTTTGCAACGATATGTGTGAGCGTAAATGGAGCTGTGATCTGGTGCACAGCACGAGGTAGATAAAATTATTTTAATAGAGTAAGTCGTCATTCAGAACGTAATTCAGAGATTCATTTCAGAGTAAGCCAGAACGATTTCCGAGTACCATCTTTGAGCAGTTACTGCGATTCCATCTACAGCTCCATAAATAAAATACGCGCGGCGAATAGCGATTTACGCTTGCAAGCCGCTTTTACCAACCGCTCAGCAGGGCCCTGATCTTCTCAAAGCGCCATTTCGAAAGCGTGGATTACAAATCTTGTGCAACGTTAAGTAAGCATTTTTATTAAAAACCATAATTCAATGGAAAATAAGAAATACTCAAATTGAAAAGCAAATGTTTGTCAGAAATTTTGCTGTTCGATCAAAATTTTCATTAATTTTTGCCTGATATTTTTTATAATAATGATACACAAATGGTGGTAAGCAGGTTATTTGGCGACCACTGATTTATTTATAATCGTAACATTTACTTTTAAAAGATAATTTTCGTAATTTTTTCCGATATGCAATATTATATTATTATATTCTTATATGGAACTTTAAAGTTACAGCACTCAAAAATATATGTGTTATAGAGATTTCAAATTTTCAGTATTATAAAACAAACCATTCATCCTCTTTTAAAGCAAAAATGATAACAAAATTATTAATTAATCAATTTTCTAGAACTTTTTTATTCCCGTTTTTTATAAGCTTTTATTTGACCCGCTTGTGGTGTTTGTCATTATGGTCAACCTTTGCCACTGAGTTTTAATTTATTGTCTGCTAATAATTTCGTAATAAAGCACGCCAGATTCACACAAAAAAATATAGAAAATACGCGTAAGATACAAAACATGAAAGGAAATTAATAACTTCAATTTGGCAACAGGCCTTTTAAGTCCTCATTTAAATCCTTTCTGTCCTAAAAGTAGAAACTGTTTTTATATTGTTTATAATATTTTTTCTTTCAAATTTTATCTGTTCCATGCTTGTAGTTCTCCTGCAACAGTTGTTATCCAATCACATATCAAAATTTCCACAAAGAATTAATTTTATAAGTATGGCTGCTACTAAATACTCAGCACCTTTTTTTTTTCACACTTCGCGTTATGTTGCCAACATATGCTTCTCATCATTCTGCTTTGTTCATCGTACAGATATATATCTAGATTAGATAAAGGTATAAAAAGATGCTTTTAAGGGTTGAGTTATTTTTTAATAGGAGTTAGTTTCACTTCATTTTTAAAACGTGTGGTTACTCGAATGGTATAAAAACCCATCATTTTTTTAATAAACAGCCTTAAAATTCTGTGAAATACAAACTGATATTAATGAAGCAATCACTGAGACCATCGAACGAAAACGAAAAAAAAGCGGCAAAAGTCAAAAAATATCGAGGGAAAATGAGCAGTTAAAAAAAAGTCCTCTTAAAGTAAACGACGTTCTACCGATACAATCCAAGGAAAGTAAAAGCAAAAATCAAATAAAATCCCGTAAGAGAAGCTAGTCACAGAATAAAAATCTGCAATAACAAAACAAAACATCTGATTTCAAACTTTTTTCATTGTACTTCTAGGACAATTGTCTTTTGAGGAATGGTAAGAAATAGGAATTCTCTGCGCTGTGTTAAACTCTCAGCGTGAGAAAGAACCAATTAATGGAGCGCTTGGAAGCCATTTTTTATATCCTTGTTCTAAAGATTTACGATTTGTTAAATACATGACAATTAAATTTATTAGCCAAAAGTTAAAAACAGAAAACGAGCCGCGGAACATAGATATATTGCGTTCAAAGTATACAAGACCCTTGGGCGTTATTAATTAATTTTATCCCAAATGCCGCATTGGGATTTTCTACGTTATTTGCACATGCAAGTAATTTCGAAAATGTCACTAACGAAAATCCGGTTCATTATGAACTGAGAAATATCTGCAATGTGGGAATTTTATTTCTAGGCTTATATCTAAATAAAAAATATCGCGGGTATTTATTAAAAACTAAAAGCGAACAAGAAGCAGCGTAGCAAGTACAGCTCCAGCATTATAATTTCAAAAGTTAGGTAGAAACTTATTCCTTAGCTGCCGGAGCGGGAATGACCGAAAAAGAAATAAATGCCTACAAAGGAAAAACAGAAAAATTCCTTAAGTATAATCAATAACAGAAAACGAAACCATTGCTTCCGTCTATTGACGAAGTAATCAACTAAAAAAAATTTCAGGAATGTTTAAGTAAAAGAAAATTAGCATCACTAACCAGAACCTAAAGTTTTAACTTCCATATACGAAGTAAAGGAAGTACTGTAATCGCGAAAAATACCGGGTATCATATTTCAAAGAAATAATCATTTGGACAGCTCTCGAATCCATTTGACGATTTTTTGAGTGACGTACGCCTTTGGCATGCCTTTATTTTCGCAATCTTTGGCCGTAGTCATATAGTTTCAGTTAGAGAAGTAGTGTTTTAAATGACAAAAATATTCATGCTTTAGCAATGTAAATATTTTAAAAAATTTAGAACGAAGTCTAACTACATGTATAATAACAGTTTATATATGTTATTAGCCTACTAATAAACATCCAGTAATATTTAGTAACGGTTTATCGTTGTAAATATCTAACAGTATTTAATAGCAGTTTATTGTTGTTCTAAAAAAATATTTAACAGGACAATACAAGGACGTCTGGTGTCCATATCCGATTTTTTATAGATGTGAAAGGAAACCTGATCCGTCAACAGGACACTATTTGAATACATTTTGGCTGAAGGGAGCTGAAATTGGGAATTTTTTGGTCAGGAATCATGTGAAATGGAAGATTTATGACTTTCGCTTTTACGAACTCAAGTTTCTCTTCAATGTGAAATATTGAGGTTGCCTTTATCTGACCAATCTGCGTTAAGCCACACTGACAAGAAATACTATAGATATTTCAGAAGATCCTGTCTGTAACAAGTGATCCTGTCTTTAAATCGGACTCCGAATTTATTAGTTGAAGGTCAGACACAGAAAAGTTCAATTTACTTAAAATACATGTAAATTTATAATTTCGCTGCCAAAAATGAAGAAGAATGTTCTGTTTAAAACTCGAAGCAACAGTCCTGCAAATTTACTTGAGTTACGCCGATTCCTTTTCCTTAGTATTAACTTCTTTAATATTTAACCTTTCCTGAGAGTTCTTTTTGATACGTGACGGATAATAATGTTCATGATATCGTACAAGTAGAACCTTGGAGACAGAACTTAACATCTGGGCTAAATCCCAAAACTGCACAACATAAACATCTTTCCTCGGTTTAATAATAATATTGTTACGAATTTCGTACTTAGATAAGTAATTTTAGTAGAATTATAAGTAAAATTATTGTATTTTTCTGTGTTGTGTATGTAGCACGAGACACATTTTAAGAGAAAGATACGCCGGAAAAGTAAGAATACAGGGGCAAGTGCATTTAACATTGAGTAAATGGGTATCTCGGTAATTTGGCTAGTTATAGACAAGCTGACAACTGTTTTGGCGACTTATTTTGCTGCCAAATTTGACGACTATTGGATAACGTTTTGGTTCGGTTTCTGTATCACCGTAATAAGTATTGTAACTGAACAAATGTAACTGACAATTATATTAGCTGTAACCGTAAATCAATTCTGATATTGCTTTTCTGTAATTTTGAGAAGCAGAAAGTACCAAAAATATTTCGGCGGCCAGTTGAAAAGCGCAGATAGAGAACATCTTCTCTCAGTTGCTTAGTTATTGTTGTTGCGATTTCTTAATGTTGATTCGAGACGTATCCGAGTTTTATCTTTCTCTTTAGATCCGCTTTGCATTGCGTTGTGTTTAACATTCTTAGTAGTCTGAGGTATAACTATTGATTATACTGTGGAAAATTCCGGAATTCTGAAATATT